AGGATTCTACTCGGATGTAGACTGTCGGTATTAGCAATTATATATTGATTAACAATGATTAAAAACTCCCAAATTGCCAATATAATAAATGTATATTTAAAAAATGACTGTTGAAATTAATTTAAAATTGCTACCATCAATAGTTAAGTGAATGAAGAAATTTCGTATCGATTATCGTTAATTAATCTGGCGATTCTGGGAATCGATGAATATAGTTATCAAAACTAACAAGAAACTAGTTAGATTAACAGTTGTAACGTTACAAACGTTTATCCGAATCGAACCGCGTTTCCTTTGACCGCCAATTCGTGAGAGTCACTGACTCCGTTGACTTTTAGCCAATTAACCGTACCTTTTGTGTTAAAACAAAGCGTCGAATCGAATTACTTGTTCGTTTTGTTGAAAAACCGACTTCAAATTACAATCGATAGTTGAAGAAGTATGTACAAGAAGTGGAGTGAACGTCCTAACTAATTTGTTTTAAATTGAGTCGGTTGGATTAAAAAAAAACCGAAGGAAACCAGAGACAAGAATCACGAACTGTCACATCCGGAGCGGCGGGTCCGAGTCGCCGATGACCGGAGAAAAAACATAATACATTGTGACCGTTGATTGATTTAGTTAACCGCAAATGGATCCATACAATTGGTCATCCGTTCACACACACCAACAAACGCATTACAGTGATCCGATTTTTCATTTCGGCGTTGCTATCAAGAAGTACTTGATCAATTGAAATATTCAGGAATGATATAATTCTTTTTTTTAAATGATTTGTGGTGGAGTCCCTATTGAAATCAATTTGATTACAAAAAAATGTCAATATCAAGTGTCTGATACCTAACTTGGCAGAAACTTAAACGACGGCGAACTTTACGTCTCTGTTTACCCTTTCATGAAAACAGTCACGATGCAACATGTGGGACATAAATCAAATTGTCATAACTCAGTTGTATATTGTCATATTAATTGCAAACGCATCGTTTATCTACATTCACATCAAAAAACTAAATTACCGTTATTGCAATAGCGCGAAAGCTGCGCTCACGCCGGATGCGCGTAATTTTTTCTAACGCGTCCGTTTCCGGTCATAACAAAAAGGTTGAATATTGAATTTGAAAATAATAAAAAAAAATCATAACCCCCTAACTGAATTTACGCGATCCAGGGCACTAACGACAGAGCAACAGTAATTACATGGACTCAGATCTCTATCTGCGTAATTTGGTGCGCGGACAAATTCCGTGTCAGCCGTAATGGCGGCTAGGTTTTATTGTGTTATTTACACAAATAAAAACGTTTATTTTTACATTTTCCCAAAATTAAATATGGGCCAATTTAGTCTCGGCGCGGGAATTACGTTGTTAGTTTATAATTTTGTGTGATTCAGTACAAAATGTGGCAAGGGCGAGTGGTACCGCTTGTTTATTATACATATATGTTATTACTCGTGTAATTTGTGTCGTTGCTGTAATTACTCGTGGGAGGAAATCCTCGTTGTTTTGTAATCAGTTGTACGTAATGCGCAATCAGTTTCTGTTGCCTGTTTATCTAACATTATTACTATGATTGTGTTTCATTATAATACATTTAGATTTGAATATGAACACAGTATTGCAGTAAAAAATTATAAGCACAAAGTAATTCGCGGAAATCATGTTTTTCAGTGACGATAACATGATATGATTAAATCTACTGTTTTGATGAAATGAGGTACCTAAGTACTTCTATATTGTTGTTTGTCATGAACATTGGATGGTAAATAAGGAAATATATTTTTTAATATCACGCGCACGCTAAATAGACTGCAACATATTGTGCAATGTGCAGTTTTAATGACATCACACTGTCATTCTCATAAAAAGAACATAAAAGGTAATTAAACCGAAGCAAAGATTAAATCAAATTGAAAGAAAATTGTAATAAAACTTTATCCGACTTGAGGATCGGAGCTACATATATAACACACGCAGATCGACATGGAGCGACAGCAGAAGGAGATGAACAAAACAATTTTCAACGCTCTACAAAACGTCTAAAGTAATTTGAGTTACACATCAAGAAAGTAAATTAAATATGAATTATATGAACATAAAACTTGTGTTTTATGAAATGAAAATAGCTTTAAAAATATCCGACAGCAATCAAGATGATGAAGCAAAAATTATACTTAAAGTTTCACAGCACGAAACCACTACTTACGCTGTAGACTTTCTACGACAATTTTTGGAAACCTTTGTTGGAAATACAAAATCATGTTAAGCATTTATTATTATGTTAGAATAAGCATCCGTAAAGCGATTTCATGTAATTATGTTACACGGAAATGTATGTAGGTACGAGCAGGAATACGCCAAATGTCATTTTAATAGTTTTAATTACATATCCAAAGCTAATTGCTCCGCTGATTACTTTGATATCACGTGATAATGGTACGTGGAAGATTTTCCTCATGCATCTACAATTGTCTTTTAAAAGCCTACGTATATGTAATTATTGTTGTGTGTTTAGAAATAACTGTGATTATGAAATAAGACTTGAGTAGATGAAGCGACTTGGCTAAGAAGTGGTCAACGAGGTAGGTGAAAATGCTTTTAGTGTAGTTTCCATATGTAATTTTGGTGTGAAACAAGACCGCTATAGCATGATGTTATTACAGATCTGCTCAATACGGTGGTAAAGGCCTTTGAACGAAAATTCTAAGTTGAGTAGTGATGTTATGAAATCGTGCTTTGGAAGACGATTGACAGATTTTAGTAAAATCAAATAATGGCTACTAAAGCTAGAAGAAGCAACTCAGAGATATCAATTTCTTCCCAAATTACGGCTGATACTGAAAGTTGGAAGTCAATTAACGATAACCTTAAATTGGCACTCCTAACGTCATCTTACATCAATAAACTTGAATGAATTCGCACAAAGTTAGATTCACAAGATTTTCACCATAATTTTGTCGTTGAACCGAAATTATATTATGAAAATTCAGCAATTAATGGTCAATTCCAAGACATTTTTGAAATAGATAGTAGGCGTGGTCACGGCTCGATCAAGGCAGTTTCTATCAATTATTATTGCAATGTTATTAATGAATTCCTCTTCACAGAGCGTGGGTGTCGATAGAATTTATAGGCACATGATATATTTCGATTTTGACCCCAAGGAGTAACGTTGTTTGTTATTAAGGACGCTTGCAAATGTTTACAGCACTAAATTAAAAAAAAAGTTGCCACACACTAGGATTTTCTCTTGTGACCTGGGTGCATTTACAAACATACACAATTTATGTTGTTTTGGGTTTGACACAAAGATTTGGTTAGTTATAGGAGGAGGTAATGGAGCCGAGAATCGAAATTGTAAGTTAATATATTTTTTAAGGAATTCCCATTAAAAGTATTGACAGTTTAAGTAATGAAAATACCTTGACAAACTGTCAATCTCTTATTTCAAAACAAAATTTACAATCTTTGTAGGATCAGAAAATTTACAAACATTTTCACCTAGAAGCTTAGTTAGTTCCTACGACACCCGCAGAAGAGTAGGACTAGTCAGCACTCAAAAATTTAGGACAAACTTTCAAGCAAAACTCTGAATTAAATCGTGTGTTCAGACATTTTCAACGTCCTTGTTCTTACCCGTTATTGAGTAAATATAGCCAGGGCCTTTCATCGTCTTCATGAAATGAAAACAGGTTACGAAAAACTTCCGCATTCTCCCGTGGAAATGAGATTTAAACGGTATATAATTTCACCATGTTATTGAGTTCATTAGATTTAACAAAAGATCATTAATTTCATAGTTATGACTTTTCTTGACTTATGAGTTTTAATTAGTTTGTGAATGCAGTGAGAATTGCGGGGTTGGACGAAAAAATCAATTGAAATATCAAGTTATGTTATGTGATCATTTGTTAAACAATAAGCTATCTATTCTAGATGCCAGCTTTTACCGCCTATTAAAACTATTTACATAGCACCTATGACTTTTTGTGATGAGAAAACATTCTCCAACGAGAATGGGTGGCGAACGAGCAGTGAATGGATTTTGAAAATTGTCGAGAAATAAAACTGTTTCTTAATAATAAATTTTTGTTCTCATATTATTTTAATTTCAGATTAATTAACATTTTAGAACTAAATAGCTTTAACATGTTTTATGATCATGTCCATAAAATTTATACCGCAGAATAGAGAATTCATTTGACTGCCAAAGTTGTTCCTTTAACTAAGTTGCAGCTAGTTGCAATACCAATAGAGGTCGGTTTATAGTCTTACGTGCAATTTGCTCAAAGATGCCGACACTCGCAGATAAATAGTACCCAGCTATATAAAGTTTTCATAGCTTCTAATTGGATGCCTAATATGGCGTGCTATATGTCCTGCGGGGATGAAGGCATCATTAAGCATAAAAAGTAACTAATAACACTCAAAATGGTAATAAATGTTATATCTATGTATAAACTAGGAATATTAATTATTGGTAATTATCAGATTCTAGACCAGAACTAGTAACTAATACAAAATGAAAATCAGATTTGTAGTAGTTATGAGTTAAGAAATGCCATGAACTGAATCCAAATCCTGACCACTCTCAATTATCAGAGACATGTACTAACTTAAACTAACTTTACGGACTTAGGTTACTTCACTTAGGTTCTGTAATGGGTACAAAGTAATCTCTCTCTAAGCTCAAATCACCGATTACCTCGCAGCATACTTAATTACAGCGCTAGTGGGCCACAGTTAGGCTTTTGACACGGCAGACAAACGCATATATCGTGACTTCGGCCAGTAAAGTCAGTTTGTTGATAAAGTCAATTAGCGGTATCGAAGTAGGGACCCGTATCAAGTGATTCAGCCCACCGTCGCGGCGGCGGTGATATCAGCGCGCCGCCATTGGCCGGGCGTGCCTAAGGGGAGTGGTCTGGGCCCGCTTCTTTTTTGTTATACTTTTTCGAGCGGTGCGTAGGCGACCGTAGCCGGCTTTATTCTCTACCAGTCGATTGAAGGCGTTGGTGTGTTATAGTTTATTGCTCTGTTGTCGTTCTAGACGTCACGGGGTATCATGTAAATTGTGGCCTTTATTGACGGCAATTTATTCGTGTTCACTATCTTTCGTCTCGTGCTTGACAAGGACTTTATTTCGGAGTTGATCAGTGTGAATTGAGTGTGGTAAGTGTTTTATGTTATTAATTTATTGCATTCGTTTAATTAACTTTTTATGTGAAGTATTAGCATGCCTTTGTAAAATTATCTTACAACTTTTCTATGTATTTTTATTGCTTAAAGTTTTTAACGTATCGTGAACCATAAAATTATTATTGTTGCAAAAAGTCCTTTTTCATTTGTTAATTATTGACATAAATATTAAATAGTTATTATCTTTACGACATAATATGCAATTCCCTTATTCTTTATATATTTTTTAGGAATTTAGCAAAATATTTATTCAATGTTTAAGAATTTATTTATAAAATAAAGTGTTGTTTAGAAATAATATATTATTTATGAAAATTACCTTCTTTGCAATAATGAAGTGTATGTAAATAGTACATTATTATTCTCTCATTTTATTTTTGTTTCATAAAGTAAACAAATGAATATTTTTTTATAAAAAGTTGAGCTTCATAAATAGTCTTACTGTTCACTGTTTTTTGACCATTCAAGTTTGAAGAGAACTGTAGATACTTTAATATGATTAATTATAGTATCCACATGGCGCTTCCCATCTTCCTAATTATACGTTACAACGGCTTATTAATATAATGACATTATTCCAACAAATACGACTGGTTTACATTAATCAAAGCCCACGAATTTTTTGACGGTCTCGCATCATATTTTTTGAGAGTCAAAAAGGCATAATACCTGATATTTTAAAAGCATTTGCATAATTAGGTGAATTTTATTGCTTTATTGAATTAGGGCCGATGTCAGGTTCAAAATTGAAATCAGCGGGGGTTCCTGTGTTGTTAATTTTGTTTATAGGTTGTATTATGGTCAGCTTTGAATGTTATTCCCATATTTCAAGCTCTATAAAAGTTGTTAGATATTGTAAAGATGGACAACAATAGTGTATTTATGTTATTGATCTTGATTTTATTAGCCTCGACGCGGGAATGTGTGGGTCATTTCATATTTTTTATGTCATCTCGTGCAGTGCCATCCGTTTTATTACTGTCGTGTTTGTGGGCAAATGTGTTGTGATCGTAATTTGTCTAATTTACATCTATGTTAATTATAAAACCATAAAATCTATGTTAAATTTCATTTAAATCTGCAATAAAAATGTTTCCTCTTGTAATTTTACCGACGGCAACGGCAGGTGGTGGTTGACGTGTTCATATATTTATTTTAGCTAAATGTTTAAAATTTTAAACTATCTGGTGATTTACAATAGAGAGAGAAAAATAATATTTTGCAAAAATATGACGTGACCAGAATACGTAACTTATCTTTTGTACTTAACTAATATTTATTGCTTTCATTCTAATTCCTTTGCTCGTAATTAATCCACAATAAAAATTAAAGTAACTTTCACTTTTCGCTAGGTTACCTAGTATTTTATTATTATAATTAATTTTTACAAACTTAAAACATGTGAAATTATCACGAAGCTTCGTATAATTTAATTGTTGCTGCCATAAGTGTATATTTTAATTATGTTTTACAGTGTAGATAATTACATTCTCTTCCTAGTCACATTTCTTGCCTCAGAAATGATTTGTAGTTTGCATTCAGACGTTAGATATCTTTATTACCCTTTCAACTGATCTCATGTCTACATTGCCACAATGTTCACTAAATTGAGTTCTCACATCACAATAGCCTTTGGAAAGAGTGATTTTAACCGATTTTTTACTAAAGGGTTGGCCGATCTCAATTTGATTAACATCACCAGCTATATAGACCCGCGTCGCTACCCGGGTCGACGAACATTTGTACTCAAAGATGAGGGTCACGATTGAAGGTCAGAGATCTACAAAGACTAGACGATACGAAACCTTCGTGATGACTTGCGGATGCCTCCGGAACGCGAGCAGCATTGTTGATTGTATTAGACTTAATTAGATCTTAATTAACATTCTGGTTTCTCATTACACGCTACTCGATGCTACTAGCCGCGTTTGTAATAGGAATGTCCATTTACATCCATACCGCTTGTATCTTGATTATTTTTTTAATGTTCGTAATATTAAAATTGAAGATTCTCTGTTGTTCGTTATGGGGTGATGAAATTGAATCGGATGTTATTCAGATTGTGATTACGATAAATAATATTAGCTTTGTGAATGTTATTAGGCGCGCCGAACACTGTTTCTGTTCTTCGATGAAACAAATTATACAGAAATGTGTGCTTCTATTTGATGGAGAAGCGACGAATGTGGAAAAAAATGCAGCAAAAACAATTAATGCTGTAAGAACAAAGGGTTAATTAAATTCATGAAATATAAATGTAGGGGAAGGAAACAATGCAATTATAGACTTTATTACTTAGTATCTACGTGAAGACACGGTGAAGGAATTTGACGTTGAAATTGTAGCATTAGAGTGGTAATGTCAGGGTTATCAGGTAGCAGACAGACATCAGTCAGGGGACGCATGAGTCAGACACTTGCAGCTCTTATCTGAAGCTCAGCGATATAATCCGAGACACCATTAACACTTAACCAGACCTAATGGACAAAAACGTTTAATCCTTCAATTCTTAGAGCTAACGATAAACTGCAGAATGGAGATTCCGAAGTTTGGATAAATATTTATTTTGTTTACCTATGAAGGTGTTTCGTAAATAACACAAAGACTGGAGGCATTTCTCATAGCCTTAAAAGTTTATAATAGCTTCATGAATTTTAATTTGTATGTTAAAGGTAAACTTTATACAGTTCGGAATTTTTCGATTATTCAATTTTAAAAATAGTTCTCATGGTCTTAACTAGATAATTGTTCCTAACAATAGCTTAAACAGTTGATTACAATTTTATTTTTATCGCGCTTGCTTTAGGAGCGACACTAAAAAAACTTAATCCTGCAGGCGCCTCTTCGTTTCTATCGTCTTTAATCCTATTATATTATAATTCCTTCACTGTACCCCCGTGTAAAGGAAATGTTATCTTATCTAAATACATTAAAGCCCCATAATGGCTTATCAGTGGATCAACGCAACTGAATTGTTTTTCATTGTTATTTTTTTATTCGTCTTTATTATTTTTGCGGACACTTTTTTTCCGTTTCGAAAAGAATGTAATGTGTTTTTGTAATTCAATTAATAAATGCAAGTCACAAAAGGTAACAAAATACTTTTTAGATTAAAATTTTAATTTCTATTTCCTGAATTGATTGAGTGGTGAATTTCAGTGTTATTGGTGTTATTATAAAACTTGCGAGATAACTGTAGCTTGTGGGAAAATACCACATAAACATCATGTGATTTCTTTATATTTATTCTTTACCTATTTCTTCACTGTCTTTACTATTAGGCTTTACAAACTTTGCAATTATTTTTCTAGTTCAACGGTTTTCAATTATTTCTTCATTTACATCACTCATAAAGTTCGTTAGAGAAACAGTCTTCACGCGTCCAGTTACTTTTAAATTATTGCCCCTCATTAATTATTTATTTTCCTGTATTTATTAGTAGAACCTGAAAGTAAGATTATTGTTTATATAGTATCTATATAAACAATAATATAGATATATCGGATAGTATCTATATAAACAATAATCGTTACACCACTTTACTTATTTATTTATAATACTTATGGAAAAGTTTCTATAAATCATTTATCGCTAATTTCACACTACTCTGTTAATTTATAAGGCTTCATATAAATCAAATTATAGTTCTTTTTCTTTATAACTGCATGCTGTTGTATGAAGCTTAATTTATTCTTACAAATGTGGTCTGGAATTGTTATGAGTATGTGAATCGATTAAGGCAACACCTATTAACATTAGGCCATAAGTGATGCTTCACACATGGCTTTAGTTTTTTAAAGAAAAATAATCTTTTAAGTACGGTTTAGTACTCTTGAACATCCTCGGACGTAGGATTTTAATCGACTTTCACGTTTCTTTATCCCTTTTTTTGCGTTGGTCCCATTGCTAAGTTGGTTGCCTTGAGGTAGTCCATTTTGTCTGCTTCACACGCATTAATTACAGTGCTTTTGTGACTATGCCCGTAAAATTGCCTATATATATAATACTTAAAACAAATAATAAACACGATGATTCTGTTTCTAATGATAATGATGTTTTTACACATAAATGCATTAAATTACAGTGATCTTTGCCAGTATTTATTACGCTAGAATTAATTGGAACGCTTTATCGTTTGCTAGCGATCCATGTCGAGGTACATTAATAGTATGCTCAAATTCCTGTATACCTTATCCACACGTTTTCAATTATAACTTTAATGACATGTTGATGCATGTTAATCGATGTTTTCTACAGAAAGTTCCATGTTGAGGTAAATGAAGACCTCATAGATCAACCTGTTTTATAATTTAGTTAAATTGCCGATGATGGAGGTTTAGTTTGAAGATGATTTGACGTCACAAGATAATTCAGTCCTTATTATAGAAAACACAAATAGGCTTCCAAATTGTCTAAAATATTTAATAACGCGTAACATAAGTGTTAATTCGACAGGAAAAAAGCTGATGAATTTATTTGCGAGTCAGACTCGGAACCCATTACAAATAAATATGTAGAAGGTATGAAGAAGTAGGTATTGGACTAAAAACCCAAAGGGGCAAACGAACTCGATAATAGCAGGAACCGCTAGCTGATTTATGAAAAAAAATGTCTAACAATATGACGATTACAAGTTGGGGGGAGCCAATCAGAAAATAATATTCGTCAATACTTATTCAACGCGAACCGCTGGAGCGTTAAAATTTACATCTTGATTGCTTTATTTAATTTACTCAAAGCTTTTTTATAATATTGCGCGGAGAGGGAACGGTGGACCGTGTCGATACTGACGGCAGTTACTTTGCTTTTTTCATTCACTATCTAACAGTTTGTTAGCGAATTTCACTCGAACTTTTCTCTATTAACTTTTATCTACAAGTTTTTGTGAGGAGCAATTTCAATTTCAAGAGACGGTAATTTTATATCACCTTCATTAATGATCATAAATTATAAAACGTTAACATCTGGGTGTA